CCCTTAAAAACTGAAAAATTCCAATTGAACTCGGGAATAAAATGTACATTACTTTCTTTCTAATGTAGAAACCACTGTTACTTTGAATTATGAAGTTTACTATATAATATAGCACATAATACATATAATAACAGATTAAATCACATGTTCCTTCATACCAAATTTGATTCTATTCATGTTATTTACCCGGTAACTCCATTGTAGTAATTTCTGTAACTCCCTATAAATAATGACGTTTGCAGAGGCAGCAATTAGGTTTGTTTGTTTTTATCGTTATTATTACACTGAGTAATCCTGACATTCTAGTCATTCAGCTACCCTGCCCTCTCAACTAATGAACGTTCCATCGAATTTCATAATATCATTATGCCCCAGCATTGAATTTTTCCTGAGTTCGCTTAAATATGTCACAGGTATTTCAAATTGGCAACTATAATATGCGATGAATAAATCGTATTTCCTTATAATAAAAAATATTCCTAACTACAAGCAACTTTTAATTTTAGTTTTATTATTAGAAAAAAGCTCAACATATATTTAAGCAATTTCATCTACTTAATTTATTTCGTAATCCGAACACAAATTTTTCTTATTAAGCACTCAAATTGCAATATATTGTATGCATTCTTAAGACAAACGCTTTTATAATAATTGAAAAAAGAAAGGTTCAATAGTGAAAGTTACATTCCATGCGTTCTCACGAAATGTCGGTTAAACTTAATTATCTGAATTAATAAAGAGGGGAATGCGATCTCTTTCACTTATTTGCACTTGGTACGGCTCTTATTTCAAGTTTATGTAAAAAAGAATTCAGATAATGTATGTTCCATTAAGATAATATTGTTGCAGCATTTATTTTATTATCCATTCGTGTAAATGAAATTATTCGAAGGAATATTGTTACTTTATCGTCCTTATATCATAGGCGATATGCAACATCTCGATTCCGAATTTAATAAGCTGTATCAGTAAATACAGCTATTCCATTTCAAAAGGATAATGAACATGAAAGAATAATTCTTCTTCATCCTACATCTCTGCCCCCTACAAAGCGTGTAATATACCATTTTATTTTTTACAGAATTTTACGGCAATACAACACGTCTATGTCGGTCTACGCTTAATGTACAATTAGTTGCATTTTCTGATAAGAAATTATCGCATCCGGGTTATGATCACAAGGTTAATGTTTACATATTGAATATTTGCATGTTTCTTTAAACTTGGAGAGTAATACAAAATGAATGAAAATATCCCTTTCCTTTTAATCCCTATGTTATATATACATTCTTGGCATAGACATATGGCGTCAGTTTTACTATTTATACAACAAAAATCATCGTGTAGGTTTATTGCACAACAATGTTTGCTATATAA